TGTAAAAATATTTTAATGTAAAGAATGACATGTAAAAATACTTTAATGTAAAGAATGACATGTAAAAATATTTTAATGTAAAGAATGACATGTAAAATACTTTAATATAAAGAATGACATGTAAAAATACTTTAATGTAAAGAATGGAATGTAAAAACATTTTAATGTTAAGAATGACATGTGAAAAAAAATATTCGTAGACAATATAATCTATAAATATGCACTAAAGGCACTTGTGTTTATTTTTTTTAAATTATAATAAATAATTTTAAAAAAAGTATAATTTATTTAGCTTTAGGTTTAACTAGTTTAACTGGTTTAACTAGTTTGTATATTATAGTGTATATATAAATAATGCCACTCAGAATTCAAAATTCAAATCTTATTATACAAATAAAAAACAAAATGATTATGATAATTGTATTTTTATGACACTAGAGTTTTTATTAAAACCGTTATTTCAAAAAGGCCCTTTAATTTTTTCTCCGCAAAGCTTTCAATTAGGGCAGAAAAATCTAGCTTCCGAGCTGTGTCGCAATTAAAACTGAGCATGGCTAGGCCATTGAGACGCTCTTGTGTCATCATAGATCAATGATAGTTTTAAACTTGGTTTAGTACACTAAAGGAGCGCTCTCCTGAAGCGGGCAAACATAGAAATATTCGTATTGTAATTCTCACGTTTAGAAACTCTTGGACTAATCCCAACTCTAGAATTCGTTCCAAAATTTTCTTTGGAGTAGTGCCCCAATTTTTTAAATTTGTGTCATAGATTCGTTTAAGAAAAAAGCATTTCGTCAACGACCTCCTCAGATACATGTTTTGAATACTTTTTTTGGAAGTTCTTGGTGGATGGTTTTATCTCATTTTCACTTAGGGTATTGAAAACTGAGAAGGAAACATATGTTTCTCAAATCGTCTGTTCAAACCACTTTCTTATTTAGCACAAACATACACAATTGATTGTCTGTGCTGTGCACACCACGGGCATCGAAACTCAACTTTTAGCGTCATGAGGAATGTAGGAAAGATACAACTATCCGATAAAACCGAAGAGCTTCGAATTACACAAAATCTTAAAAATAAATGAATTACACAAAATCTTAAAAATAAATGAATTACACAAAATCTTCAAAATAAATGAATTACACAAAACCTTCAAAATAAATGAATTACACAAAACCTTCAAAATAAATGAATTACACAAAATCTTAAAAATAAATGAATTACACAAAATCTTAAAAATAAATGAATTACACAAAATCTTAAAAATAAATGAATTACACAA